TGTGTGTGTGTGTGGCTCTCTGCCCTTCCTCCTCCTGCCTATGTGTGTGTGTGTGGCTCTCTGCCCTTCCTCCTCCTCACACCTGCCTGCCTTTGTCTCTACAGCACAGCCCCTTCTTTGCAGAGCAGCTGACAGCTTTCCAGGTGTGGCTGACCATGGGTGTGGAGAACAGGAACCCGCCTGAGCAGCTGCCCATCGTGCTGCAGGTGTGTGGGGGCCCTGGGGCAGGGGGGCAGGGGCCGGGGCCGGGGTGACGGGGCGAGAGTGGGAGCGGACAGGGCCCCACAGTAATTGTGACCGACGACTTGTTTCTCGCTTCTCGCTTATTAACGGCCAAGAGCAGCTCAGGGTTAGAGCGAGGGTGCCCCTGCCCAGCTAGTGGGCAAGGGGTTCACCGACTTATACGGGGCACTTGGGATGCGTTGCGCTGGGTGGGTGGGGGTCAGTTCGGTCAAGAGGAGGTTTGTGTGGCGTCACCTTGGTGTGTCACATCTGAATTCCTGAGATAAAATGAATAGGACAGTCTGTTGTATTACAGTTGTTTTTCATATCTCTGTGCTACTTTGTGTTCTTTAACAATGAGACACTTTCCAAGCGGGAAGGTGGTATTTTTTTCTTTGAAACGTGTTCCCTAAATTCAGTCTTAAGTCAGGATACAGTACTTAATTTAGAAATACAGCTAACGTCGTTACAAAAAGTGTAGGGCTTTTGTTCTTTTTGGTGTTTTGGCGACAGAGAATTCTTAACGATGGCAAAATTGTTCCCTCCTGGCCTCTTTCGAGTTTAAAGTATTTGAAACATTCTGTTCAGTAAAGACTTCACTGATTTCGTTTCAGATCTTTAGAAATATACAAGCAGATCTTAGGGGGGTGACCTGCTCAGATCTCAGAAACTAAGCGAGGCCGGGGTCTGGTTTTGCTGGGATGGTAGACCTCCAGGGAAAACCAGGTGCTGTTGTAAGGGGTGTTGGTGTTGGCGACTGGTGGCACTCTGCCCTCTGCACCAGAATTTTCCATGTCTTTCTGATTTCTTTTTATTGTCCCAGAAGGGGGAATTCGCCTTGCAAGAGGGTAAAAGACACAATACAATCCATTTAGCACAGCATGGACCCATTAACCAATAAGACACATACAAGTGTGATGAAAAAGAAAAAAATATATATAGATAAGAAAGTAAAATGCACAATGAGTTGTCCAGGTTCAGCAGGGTAATAGCTGTGGGTATAAAAGAGAAATCGCTGACCTGACAGGAGGAGCTGAAATTCACTGTGCAAGGGCTGATGATGACAGTGATCATATTGGCCCTCCATACTATTTGCTTGATGTAGAGTTCACTGCTACGATCATATCGTGCTGGTTGGCTCCTAGCATATTATGCTGTGATCCCACCATGCTGTTTGTTAGAGTATGGTATGTGAAACCTGGCGTCCTAGCTAATGTCCACTGAACTATCCGACCTTCCCAAAAATTCTGCCTTCCATCAGCCAGCGGGGCAGTCTCTCTCTCTCAGGGTACCATGCACAGCCATACCATGGAAGCATTTATCCTGGCAGTGGGGCCGAAAAGCATCACCCAGGTGCTCCGGTATTCGAAGCACTGCGAGATCCTATGGGATATGAAACACAACACAAATTCAAGCACACACATTACATGTAAGCTATTATTATTATTACCATCACTGTTGCTACTGCTCGGTCCTTGCCTTTTGACATTCACAACCACAAAAGATGGCAACAGCCTCATGCAGTCACAGTTTTTTTCATCTTACTTCAGCTTACGAGTTACATAATATGAGTTTACATTTAAAAAAAAAATGAACAGTCCATTTTCTGCAATCATGTGGATTTACTGTAAGGGCCCCCTTTTTCATTATATCACCCTCCTCCCACCAGCAGCACATGCTGTTACACGCTGACGTAAACATGTTGACAAATCTGCCTGACCAAGTAATGCAGCCCCGCACTTGAACAGAATATTACTCTGCTGTGGGAGGAGGCTGTAATATGGAAATCTGTGAAAATAATCCATTGATAAGGAGCTTGGAAATGAACAGGGGAGCTGAGAGGAAGGGGATAATACAGACAGGCTCACAGCACTGGTATCCATGCGCCAGAGACTCCTTCCCGGACCGGGCTCGAGCGGATCGGTTCTGGTGCAGGACGGAAGCCAGCCGAGGCGTGTAGAGGCTGGAGTGTAGGGTGTGGCCAGCTCACGGCTCACACGCGTGTGGGGAGACAGATCTCTGCTGCCATGTCTTCAGAGAGCTGACAGATGGTTTCTTTTTCACGTCTGATGTAACCAGTCGAGGGTTAAACTGAAAACAAACCTTGTAAAGGATGTTTTCTCCCAGAGGTGAACGTGTTTGATCCATTTGTGTCCCTCATGAAAGTTTCGCATGCTAAATTACGAGCATGTCAGCAGTTTCCCATAGTCCCATATTCAGTCTAGTTGCCCATATCTTTCACATTCATGTGTCTTATACGTTCACCGTGTATCTGTGGCACTTTGTTACAGATCACTGTTCTTTTGCCATGCTAAGACACAGTTTATTTGTTTTTCAAGCTTTCAAGTCTTTACTTTCAATATGAATGTGGCCTTGGCTGTGGTCCTTTCTTGCTCGGCGTCTGCAGGACACCTCGGTGGGAGTCTTCAGACCAGTGCTGTGTGAGGCCGGGCACTGCGCTGTGCTGCGAAAGAGAGCCCTGCCTCACTGCCTTCAGGGCAGTTCTGAGTTAATTTACAACACCTGTGGGGGCAGAGTTCCTCCCGTTTGCATCATTACAGCACTGCAAGGCAAAGCCAGTCCAGACACTCCTTCATAACCTGGCCTGTAGTTCACCTTAATTAATCCTCACAAGTGCCGTCAATTTCAGCTTGTGCACTGCAGCAAAGCCTGCATGTGTGTCCCCTGTGCCGTAAAGTCAAGCCTCGTAATTCTGCAGCGTGAACTTCACACTGTTCAGTCGGTGCCAGGATTAAAGCCTGCCTGCCTTCTGGATTTTGAATGTGTGGTTGATGCACATGGCCACACGAGAGTCAGTCTGTATCTTACTGATTGGAAGTACCTCAAATTCCATACATGAGTTTTTTGTTTAAGCAGTTTAAAAACAGATTTGGCATCAACCACACCCAAATTGTAAGATATGGTTTAATTTAATGGCTAATTTAAGATTAGCTCCGAGCCTTTCTGATTTCCGTACTTCGGGCAGGTAAAGGTACAGAGTTCCCGAGCAGCTCTAGGCAGGCCCGCCTTTCCCAGTCGGCTACCAATATGAAGTCACGCGTTCTGCCCGGGCGAGCTGTGCCTGGCTCATCTTGCCTTTCCGGCTAAGAGAATGAGCAACAGCTCTGCGTGGGGCGTGACTTCAAGTGGCAGTTCGGCAGGTTGCTCCCACACCGGCCGCGGGGAGGTCGTATCTCGGGGAGCTTCCTCGCGCCGGAAGCGCGGGGGACCGCGGGTGGAGGGAGCGTCTGGGCCCGGTGCCAGGAGCTCGGATCTCTGCGCGCGGCACTTCCTCCGCTTGGGCACTATATCATTTCAGCGGGATTGACCTGCTTTCTGCTCCATCGCGCATTGATTCCGAGGACGGCTTTAATACCCCCGCTCCCGGCCTGCCATCTGTCTGCTAATCCTGCCGCCCAAAGACACAAACTGCGGAAGAGAATTTCATTCACGGACCTTGAGCCACGAGGGACGTCATCTCCCGCGCTGATGGAATTAAGCGCCGGGAGGTTTTGAAGGTGGACCCTCTCGTAAGGGAGAGCCCCTCGCTAATCTCCTCTGGGGAGGGGGGGGGGGGGTCATGGCCTTCCCTGTTAACTTCCGGACACTGTGCCACTCCGATTATCCCTTTTTAAGGGCGAGATCCTGAATACCCTCTAACCCATCTTGTTCTCTTTTTGCCATCACACCCCTCGCCTCATGGAAGAGCAGTTGGAGTGCCACTGCGCAAATTCATTCTGCAATAATTCCTCCTGTGCCAAGAAGACGGGCTTTTTTTTGCATTGTTTTTTTAACGCTGTCTTTTTTTTGTTGTTTTCCTCTCTGTGGCAAGTGGGCAGTGCTTAAATGTTTCTCTGCCTCCCGTCCAGAAGCCCAGCGTGTCTCGTGCACGCAGTGACAGCGAGGGCTGCGGTCACAGGCCCAGGCCTTCGCGATGACACACGCCAGCATCTGACGCGCTCAAGGGCAGCCGGCGCCGGGGTGTGCGTTGCTCTTAACGGCAGCGTTTTTCCCTCATGAACCATTCGGTTGCCCTCTGCCTGCGAACTGGACAGTCTCATCACAGCCATGACGTCACTATTGTGTGAGCGGTGGACGGTACTGAAACTGTCCTGAACACATCTTGAACAAGGAGATGTTGTATTTCCTCGGTCGCTCCTGTCCATGAGCAATCGATATGCCGTCTAATGCTCTCTTGCCCCGTATTAGTTTTGTCCATTCTTTTTGTGTATCCTGACGTGGCAATGTGATGAGAACGGGCTGGGCGTTTTGGGAACCATGGGAAGGGCTGATCGAGATCTGATCTCTTCCTCAGGTGCTTCTGAGTCAGGTGCACCGGTTGAGAGCTCTGGACCTGCTTGGCCGGTTCCTGGACCTGGGACCCTGGGCTGTCAGCCTGGTGAGAAAGAGCGCGTGGCCCAGTCACACATTGTGCCCCTAGAGGCTCAGAGCACCCATACAGAAAGCACACTCTTGGTAAACACCCTTTACCACAGGGGACTGGTCCTGATTTTAACACTTGTCATAATCAGGCAAGTGTTATAGTTCACCCTCAACAGTTTTATCGAAATGCTTAAGAAATCAAGTTTAGCGAGTAATGTATATTGTGGTGATTTTAATCAGGATTGTGGCACCCTGGTTCTGAAAGCCCGCAGGGCCGTGTTCATGCTATTTTCACACCTTAAACGAATGACCTTCTTAAAAAGCTCACGTATGGCGCAAAAAAGCGGGACGGTGGTTGAGGGCTTTGTAATCAAAATGCAAACACCAGTTTACTTGTAGAACAATGTTCACAGCATATTTAGATTAGATAAGATCACTTTATTGGCCATATAAAATTTCTTGCATTAGGAATTTGTCTTTTCGCATACCCCAGCTTGCTCTCCATGAGACACACAGACGGGGAGAGAAGCTGGGGATCAAAGCGCAGGGTCAGCCATTTATACGGCGCCCCTGGAGCAGCT